GGGGCATCTAGCAAGTAAGATATGTCCATGTTAATCAGAATTTTCCATTTTGGATACATTATACTTTCTAGTATTACCAAATTTAAAGATTCTCACTGGTGTTCTTTCTCATACTTTTTTGGAAATTACTGTCTGTCTCTCATCAATGCCAATTGGGGAGCTTTCATTTTCCCCTCTTAATTGTTACTCCGTATGTCTTTTGCTTTGTTTTTATGTTTTTTTCACTCTTTCGAGAGTTTGGATCTTTGAACAATTTTTATTCATTTTCATTAATCAATGAGAAGTTCTTTTCTGGTTTTTTTGTTATTTTAACGAGCAACAACTTTCCATTGATATATGAAAAGGAGAAAACATTCAAGAATACAAACTCCTAGGGGAGTGAGAGAAAAAAAGAAAAGACAAAAACATAGAATAGGCTTAACAGGAAGCATTAAAAATAATAAAAGCCAACGATAATTTCGAGCTAACTACAAAATAAAACTATCTACCAAGATGTGAGGACTCAATTAGAAGATTCTTTAGCTTCAGAATTGCCCACATTATCTCCTGGAAATAGATCTTTGAGTTCCTGAGAGAACTTGACACTAATTCCCGAGCCTGAGCAGCTTCTATCTCCAACCTTCTTCTAGAAAAATCTTCTAACATCAAAGTCCTTTCAGCCTGAAAAGCTCAGAATTGAGAAAGACTAGTGTTGTAGTATATATTAGTATATTTTACATTCTTTTAAATAATATGTATTCATTTGTCCTTAACCTTCCCCTTCTAGGATTAGGTCAACCTTGTATATTTGTCTATATATATAGACTTCAGTAATGAGAAAAAGATCTATTTGGTTCTCTCAAACCTTAGTTTCTACATGGTATGAGAGCTCTAGGTTTCTTCTAAAATTTTTGTGCCCCTTGGGGTTTTGATGCCCATTAGGGTTTTGTGCCCATTAAGGTTTTGTCCCTTAGGGTTTTGTTCATTGCTATCCAACTCAACTCACTACTACCACCGCCGACGCCGTTTGCTGATTCGCCAGCGCTGCTGTTTTTCGATTGCTGTTCATGGGTTTCGTCTCGCCGCCAATAGCCGTCGCCGTCGTCGTGTTGGTCTGATTTATACCGGTGTTTCGGTTCAATTTGTTCGGTTTACTTGGCTCTGTTCAATTGGTTTGGTTCGATTCCCTTTCCTCCTTCAGATTTGGTTTGGTTTGTTTCAGTGCAGTTCTTTGTTTGTGTCCATATTGTTGAAGTTATGATCGAAAAGAAATTAATGGTAACAATTTCTGCGGAAGAGTTTGCTAAATTCCAACAGTATCAAGAGTCATTGATGACATCATCCTCTAATCCAATTACTGCCATTGCTGATTCAGGTAATACCAATAAATGTCTTATTTCCTCCGCGTCAAAATAGGTCATTGACTCTAGTGATACGAATCATATGTCAGGTAACCTCAATTTATTTGCTACCTTTTCACCATCTACATCTTTACCTGATGTTACAATAGCGGATGACACCACTTCTCCTGTTCTTGGATTTGGCACAGTTCATCTCTCCAAAACTCTTTCATTGACCTCTGTTTTAAATTTGCCACAATTTTCTTTTAATTTGATCTCTGTTAGTAAACTTACTCTTGATCTCAATTGTTGTGTTTTATTCTTTCCTGGTTATTGCTTATTTCAGGATCTTACAACGAAGAAGACTATTGGTAAAGGGCGTGAATCTGATGGCCTCTACACGTTTGATACACAAATACCTACAGCCACTGTTTGCACTCGAGTGCCAACTCCTTTCGAAGAACATTGTCGTTTGGGTCATCCATCTCTCTCTGTGTTAAGAGTCTCTGTCCTCAATTTCATAATTTGCATTCTTTAGATTGTGAGTCATGTTAATTTGTTAAGTTTCATCGTCTCAGTTCCTATCCTAGAGTCAATACACGAGCTAATGCTCTTTCTGAATTAGTCCATTCTGATGTTTGGGGTCCTTGTCCTATTGAGTCCAAAAATGGATTTCGATATTTTGTTACTTTTGTCGATGATTTATCTCGTGTAACTTGGTTATATTTGATGAAACATCGTTCTGAGTTACTTTCTCATTTTCGTAACTTTCATGCTGAAATTCGAACTCAATTTGGTGGCTCTCTTTAAAGTTCTACGGAGTGATAATGCTAAGGAATATTTTTCTGGTGCTCTTGGCTCCTATTTAAGTGAACATGGTATTATTAATCAATCCTCGTGTGTTGATACTCCGTCTCAAAATGGAGTTGCAGAAAGGAAAAATAGACATCTTTTCGAAACAGCAAGGGCCTTAATGTTTCAAATGCATGTTCCAAAATACTTTTGGGCTGATGCTGTTTCAACGACTTGCTTCTTGATTAATCGCATGCTTTCGTCTGTTCATAAGGGTGAAATACCTTATCGTACTCTGTGTCCTACGCAACCTTTATTTCCTATTAAACCTAAAATATTTGGTTGCACTTGTTTCGTTCGGGATGTTAGCCCCCAACTCACCAAATTAGACCCTAAGTCATTGAAATGCATTTTCCTTGGTTACTCTCGTGTTCAAAAAGGGTATCGATGTTATTGTCCTGATCTCAATAG